AATGTTTCTTCCACCCTAAAATACATGTATTCATAGTGCAACAAAGAATTAAGGAAAGAGTAGATTAGAACCATAAGAGCAGAAAGGATTTTAGGATTTAGGAACTGGAAGGGATCTTGGGAGACCTCTAGTTTGATTTCCCCTTATTTTACAGATGAGGGGCTAGGGCCCTAGGAGCCTAGTGAACTAAAAAAGAGAATACGAGCCCTGCCAGTGAAGGGTTATTAATTCCTTCAATGCCTCAGCTATTAAAATTTTTGTTTCAGGTATGGGGAGACATAAGTGTCTAGGAAGACCAGCAAGAATCACAGATAAGCAGGACGGCTTTGAAAGTAACATATCTAATAATATTACTTTTAAAGAAAAGAAAGGGCTACATAATAGAGATTTGTAGGTTCATGTATAAACTTTTCTTTCTGTTCTACGGTGTATGTGGTAGCACACATTTTAATTGATGTTTGTTAAATTTAGGATTCTGTAAATGATAGAGGGCAGAGAGGGAAAGAAGAGAAAGCAATTAACTGAGTAGTCAAAGTGGAATGATAAGGACTAGAGAAGAAGCAAGGTAGTAACTCAGAAGGTTCTGAGTAATATGGAATACAAACTGTCTTAAATTATATATATCTTCCTCCTAGAAGATAAACTTTTTATGGGCCAGGATTAAAACGACAAGTCTTTAAACATCAGACCCAATTTATTTGTACATATCTATATTTTTAGAGAGAAGGGGCCAGAAAGCGCTCTTATGGTAAAGTCTTTTTAAAGAATTTAGTAATTTTCAACATTTAAATTTTATTTTTTAACCTGGTAACTTAAAAATGAATAAAAACCTAAAACTTGATTTCTCCATTGTTTGGAAGAAGCAATGATGAGAGAAAAAATAGTGTGAGGTATACGCTGATTAAATGAGAGAGGAAATAGGCAATGAGGAAAAGAACAGAAGATAAAAAAGAGGGAGATCTAACAAGAGAGGGGTTTAAAGGAAGATTATAGACTGTTAAAGAGTTTGGAGAAGAGAGCAACAATGAAAACTTGAACATGAAAGAGACGTAGTCTTGCTGGAGACAGGCAGAGACATAACAGACACAGAGTTCCCCAGGATAAACTGGTTAAGAAAAACAGATACCTCAGGAGTTCATGGAAGAAAATGATTGACGATGATGGGAATCAAGGTGACGAAGGAAGGAGAGATGGAGACTGAAAGAAAGACATAAGGAAATGGAAAGACTCAAAAGGTGAATCTAAGTTGCTTACCAAAGGACAGTAGCTTGGATGTGATTGGGAGCAGGATTCAGTCTAAATCTAGAAGTCCTTGCCACATCCCTCTCCAGCTCTTGCCACCAGAGAGTATATATTTGGTATATTTAGGAACTTTGTTTTTTTCTTCTAGTGAGCAGTATTTTGTGTATTTTTTTTTTAAAGGAGCCATCTCTGGCCCCTTGGCTATTACTTTGTGGTACAATCTAACAGGAAAGGTCAAAGTGAGTCATCTCTAAATTTTGCAATTTTCCTCAGATAAGAGAGATGGAAGAAGAGGAAGAGTTGTTAGAGAAGTTTATGTGTGGTTGTCAAAAAAAAAAAGAAATGTGTTATCAGATATGAATTTTGCATGTATGTGATGCCTATATTGGTAGGGGGAACTTATACATACATATACATATAATATGTATTATAGCATACATACATATAATAAAGCTTTTGTGTACAAACATACGGAATCATTTTTTGACCAGACTAGTGGGAATTAAACATTACTGATTCCAGCTTAGTTTCCTGAACACATTGCATAAGCTCACTGATGTACCTAAGTAGTGTGTGTATGTTTTTTTACTTGTTTAGTCCCAATGGAATATTATGAAGATTGGCAAAATAATTGCCAGTTTCCCCCTTTGATTCCTTTGGGATAAAGCAGGTAGAAGAATGTAGCTCTCCAACCCAAATGTAGAATACCTCTAGACAAGCTACCCCAGATTCAAAGTACTCTGTGGCTCCATATCCACTCAAAACCAAAGCTCCAAAGTGCCAATGCATTTACTTTCAAAATTAGTCAGCCAGAGGATACAATTGGCTCAAAGCCAATGAAATTGCATAATAGAAAAGAATCTTGGTATTGATAAGCTTTTCCTTTCCAAAAGGTGAGCTCTTTTGAAACATAGAACAGCTAGAATCCACTTGTGATCTCCTGAAAGAAACTCCAAAATAAAAACTCCCAGGAACACTGAAGTCAAAATCTAGATTTTCCAGGTCAAAGAAAAATTACTGCAAGCATCTAGAAAGAAAGAATTCAAGTACTGAGGAACCATGGTCAAGATCACACATGATTTTGTAGTCATCACTATAAAATAATGAAGAGCTTAGAATATTATATTCCAGGATGCAAAGGATATAGGTTTAGAAACCAAGAATAACTTATCCAGCAAAGCTGAGTGTAATCCTATGGAGAAAAATTTGACTTTTAATAAAATAAATTACTTCTAATCATTCTTGATAAAAAGACCAGAGGTGTAGAAATTTTTAATTGAAAACACAGGTATCAAGAGAAACATAAAAATGTTAGTAGAAATAAACAATCATAAGGGATTAAACAACTAAACACTTTACCTACTAATTTGGGTATATAATGCATGCTTCCACTTTAGAGAAGTCTAATTAGAGAGAGGTCCTGGGAGTGGTTTTGTTATGTTTGATGATCTTAAAAGAAGAATAGATAAGGAGGGGAAGAAGAATACACTATGGGGGGAGGGAAAGGAAGGTTAAGGAAAATTATTTCACCTAATAGGGTTCTGCAAATAGAAGTCTATAAAAAAAAGGAGGATGGGGTGAGGAAAGCAGGTGATATCAACCTCACGTTCACCTGAACTGGTCCTAGGAAGGAAGGATAGATGCACAGGGTTGGGTACAGAAATATATTGCACTAAATGGGGAAACAGGAGAGAAAGGGGAGAAGGTTACCAAATTACCAAATGGTCTCTTTGTTGTTAAATCCAGTGCCTTTTCCTCAATCCTCTTTCTCCATGACCAAAGGTCCTATGACTTCTGACATTGCTGATTATGCTCTCTTTCTCAGTATTCTTTTCTTTCTAGGTTTTCAGACACCACTCTCTCCTGGTTCTCCTCCTACCTATCTGACTGCTCCTTCTCAGTCTCTTCATCCAGATCATGCCTTTCAACCATAAGTGTCCTTCAGAGTTCTGTCCTGAGCCCTCTTCTCTTCTAACTCTGTACTGCTTCCTTTGGTGATCTCATCAGCTCCCATAGATTTAATTACCACTCTATGCTGATGATTCTCAAGTCTACCTATCCTCCCCAAACCTCTCTACTGTCCTCCAATCTCACATCTCCAACTGCCTTCCAGACATCTCATACTGGATGTCCAGTGGACATTTTAAACTAAATGTGTACAAAACAGAACTCATTCTCTTTCCTCCTAAACCCTTAACTTCCTTCCCTATTATTGCACAGGGCAATACCATCCTCCCAGTCCCTCAGATTCACATCCTCAACTCATTCTTACACACACCACAAATGTTGCCAAGGCTTGTTGATTTCACCTTTCCAACATCTTTTGAATATGCCTACTTCTCTCCTCTGACACCGCCACCACTCAGAGTACAAGCTCTCACCACTTCACGCCTGGAGTACTGCAATGGCCTGCTGGTGGGTCTGCTTGCTTAAGTCTTTCCTCACTCCAATCCAGTCTCAGTGCAGCTACCAAAGTGATTTTCCTAAAGCTCAAGTCCGACCACGTCACTCCCCTGCTCCCAATCAATAAACTCCAGTGTCTTCTTACTGCTTCCAGGATCTAATACAAAATACTCTTTTTGGCATTCAAAGTCCTAACCCCCTTCTACTTTTCCAGTGTTCTTACACCTTACTTCTCACCATTTACTTTCTGATCCTGTGACACTGACCTCTTGGCTGTTCCTAGGGACAAGACACTCCATCTCTTGGCTCCTGGCAGTTTCTTTAGCTGTTAATAATGCTCTTCCTCCTCCACTCTGACTACTGGATTCCCTGGCTTTCTTTAAATCCCAGCTAAATTTCCACCTTTTACATGAAGCCTTTCCCAATCCCTCTTGATTCTAGTGCCTTCTCTCTGTTGAAAATTTTCTATTTATCCTGTATATGACTTGTTTTGTATATATTTGTTTGCATGTTATCTCCCCTATTAGACTGTAAGCTCCTTGTGGGCAGGGACTATCTTTTGCCTCTTTTTGTATCCTCAGTGCTTAGCATAGTGCCTGGAACTAATAGGTACTTAACAGATGTTTATTGATTGATTGAGAAGGAAAAGGGAGGAATTAGAGGGAGTGTAGGTTAATATTAGACCTAGGCAAATATGCTCTAAGGTTGTACAAAAACATAGCAACTCTTTTTTTTGTGATGGCAAAGAACTGGAAACTATATATACACATATGTGATGGAATACTATTCCTGCCACTGGGTCTCTCTTCCACTGGTGTCTGTGGTGTGTAAAGTGCTGGCAGGTCCCAGAATCCCTAAATACAAAGCACCAAGCTCTTCAAGGCCATCAAGGAGGACTCATATCAGCTTACTACAAACTTTCAGAGCTCCTAGGCCTGAGGAGTGGTCACTGCCCCCTTGGTATAAGCTTTACATTTTTTTTCCTTCTTTTTGGTGAGGCAATTGGAGTTAAGTGACTTGCCCAGGGTCACCCAGCTAGTATCAAGTGTCTGAGGTCAAATTTGAACTCAGGTCCTCCTGACTCCAGGGCTGGTGCTCTGTCCACAGCACCACCTAGCTGCCCCATAAGCTTTACCTCTTGCCAGCTGTTATTCCCTCTTCCATGACCACAGGCCCTTAACCATTCTGAAGCCTCTTTGCAAAGATCATCTGGTTCCATGCGCATGTGTGCTTGACTACCCTGAGAATTCTTGTGGAGGGCATAGGTTGTTGAAGCCATGAGGCCTCTGAGCACCTTGACTGCGTTGTACAGAGAAATCAGCGAGCGAGACCCAGACATAATTTGAAATGTGGATTTATTAGCGTGTGGTTGCAAGGGGTACATACCCAAATCGAGCAGCCCTGATCAGGGGCAGAGCTTGAGTTTATAAAGGCAGAGGCCACAGAGGAAACAGTCAGGGGTTGTGTAAGCGGGAAGTTACAGAAGCCAAACAAGCGATTGGTTAATCCTGCCTTTGGGACCATATAAGGATCATGGAATAAGATTGGGGTGGGTATCTTTCTTGGCGGGTTTTCTAAGGCGGGAACTCCTACTTCCATGAAGAAGGGCATACAAGATGAAGGTCAGAAAACAAAATGGAGTTCAGCACATGGAGTTCAGTACTTCAACTGCCTGGTTCCTCTTTCTGGGCCCTCTTCTCAGTTCCTTCAGGTCCCTGGGTAACCCCCTCTGTAAAATAAGACTAGATGATGGTACTTATTCCCCTTTCTCTATTTTTTTAATTAAAAATTTTCAGTCAATGAAAATCTTCCATTTCTCCTTGTGAGAAAGAAAACCAAAATCTCTAGCATAAACATGTGTAATTAAAAAAAAAATTCCAACATTGGCTATTAAAAAAAGTTTCATACAAGTGTGCTGGAGCAGTTGAAACTTGGCCCTGACAAAAAGTCCCAATTCTGAAAGTTAAGCTGGAAATACAGATGATGGTAATGAAATTTAATAGAGATGAGCGGGCAGACTTTAGAAAAACCTAGACAGACTTACATGAACTGATGCTGAGTGAAGTGAGCAGAACCAGGAGAACACTGTGCACAGTAACAGTAACATTGTGTGATAACCAACTTTGATAGAGTTAGCTCTTCTCAGGAATGCAGTGAACTAAGACAGCTCCAAAAGACTCATGATGGAAAATGCTTTCCACATCCAGATAAAGAACTATGGAGTCTGAAAGCAGATCGAAACATATTATTTCTCTCTCTCTCTTCTTTCTTCTTTCTTGTGGTTTTTCCCTTTGGTTCTAATTCTTCTTTACAGCATGACTAATATAGAAATATGTTTAATATGATTGTACATGTATAGCCTATATCAGATTGTGTGCTTTTTTGGGGAGAGGGGAATGAAGGGAGGGGGAGAAAATTAAGAACTCAAAATCTTATAGAAGTGAATGTTGAAAACTAAAAATAAATTAAAAAAAATATGTGTATATATACATACATATATACACACACACACACACACACACACACACATATATATATATATGTATATAAAGAGATCCAATGGATCCTGGAGTGTTCAGGACATGGAACTCCACAGTGACTAGGGCAGAGTCTTAAATAAAGGTATGGCTTAGCCACAAAGCCCATCAGAAGGCCTGGAAGAGATGAAACAAGAGATAAAAATGATATAAATGAAATAGGAGAACCAAAGAAAAGAACTGGAAAGAGAATAAGCAGCTTAGTCTGAAGGGTATAAAATCTTACTCAAGTAATAGTAGACTTCCTGAAAATTAGAATGGACTAAACAGAAATCTGTGTAATTAGAAGTAATTAGAAGAAAATGTAAGGTAAAAAACAACTGACCTAGAAACAGAACAAAGATAGATGATCTAAGAATCATCAAACTACCCAAAATCATAAATAATTTTTAAAAAGTGGATGTTATAGTTCAAGAAATCCTAAATGAAAACTGTGCAGACATATTAGAATGAGAGAGCAAAGTGAGAATACAAAGAATTCACTGGTTACTTCCTAAATGAAACCAAATGAAAACTTGCACAAATTTTATTGCTTAAATCCAGATCTTCCAAATTAAAGAAACAATACTGTGAGTAGCCAGAAAGAATTTAAGTACCAAGAATCACACAAAACTGATCAGCTAAGTCTATAAAGTACGAAAAAGCTTAAAGACACAGTTTTCCAAAGGTAAAAAGATGAAGTCTTAAAACTAAGAACAACTTACCTGGAAAAACTAAGGATAATCCTATGGGAGAAAAAAAATGAAACTTTAACGAAATAGAGGACTTTCAAGCAATCTTGATGAAAAAGGCAGAGTCAAATGAAAACGGGTTAGGAGAAAACCTAAAAAACATAAATAGATTGGAACTTTTGGAAGAAATCGTATGATAAATGATTCTAAAAAGAGAAGAAACAAGTCCTATTATCTTCCAGTTTTATAGAGGGAGCTAAATAAGATCAACAAAAGCCTGGGAGTAATTTTCCTACTGTCTTAATGATTTTAAATGATGAAAGAAAAGAGAGAGAAAAAGACTGTACAAAACAACTATAGAATGTATAAGATATTTGGGAGTCGAAGGAAAGCTGGGAACTGGGAAGAAATTTCATAGCAAGTTTCTCTGATAAAGATCTCATTTCTCAAACATCTAGGGAACTGAATAAAATTTATAAAAATAAGACCCATTCTCCAACTGATAAATAGTTTAAGGATATGAATAGACAGTTTTCAGAAGAAATCAAAGCTCTCAATAAGTTATATAAAAATGCTCTAAATCATTATTGATTAGAGAAATTCAAATTAAAACAACTCTGAGATACCACCTAAGACTTTTCAGAGGCGACAAGTTCTGGAGGGGATGAAGGAAAAGAGGTACACTAATGAACTGTTGGTGCAATTATGAACTAGCCCAACCATTCTGAAGAGCAATTTGGAACTATGCCTAAAGGGCTATAAAATTGTCTTTGACCCAGCAATACCACTACTAGTTCTATACTCCAAAGAAATTAAAGAAAAAGGATAAGGATCTATATGTACAAAAATATTCATAGCAGTTCTTTTCATAGTGGCGAAGAACTGAAAATTGATGGGGATATTCCTCAATTGAGGAATAGCTGAACAAGTTGTAGTATATAATTGTGATAGAATACCACTGTGCTATAAGAAATGATGAAGGCAATGGTTTCAGAAAAACCTGGGAAGACATATGAACTGATGCAGAGTAAAGCGAGCAGAATCAGGCGAGCACTGTACACAGAATAGCAATATTGTAATAATGATCACCTGTGAAAGACTCAGCTACTCCAATCAATACAATGATCCAAGACAACTCGGAAGGACTCATGATGAAAAATGCTATTCCTCTCCAGAGTGCAGATTGAAGCATACTTTTTTCACTTTCTTTATTTTCATTGCTTTTTTTTGAAACATGGCTAATATGGAAACATGTTTTATATGACTTCATGTGTATAATTAATATATTACTTGGCTTCTAAATAGGTGAGGGAGGGGGTAGAGGGAAGAAAATTTGGAACTCAAAATTTTTAAAAATGAAAGTCAAAAATACATAATAAAATTAAAAGTATAACTAGGAAGTATTTAACAAAATAAAAATATAATAAAACATTAAAATAAGCTATTTGGGAGGCCAATTACCAAAACATATACAGGAACTTACGAATATAGCTACTAAGCACTCTTTACAGAAATAAAAACAAGCTTAAGTAATTGGGGAAATATTCACTACTTATAATTAGGCCATGCAAGCATAATAAAAATGACAATATTATCTAAACCAATTTACTTATTGAGTACCATGCCAATAAAAATTCCAAATGCTTATTTATAGAGTTAGAAAAAAAAAGGCATCTGGAAAAACAAAACATCAAGAATCTCAAGGGAAATAATGAAAAAAAAGTGGGAAGAAAGCAGGTCTGGCAGCACCAGATCTCCAATTATACCAAAATGCAGCAATCATTTAAACTGTTTTGTAAAACTAAAAAAAAAATAGAAATGTTGATCAGTGGGACAAATTAGGTACTCGATATACAGAAGCAAATTAACATAGTAGTATTGTGTTTAATGAGTACAAAGGCCTTAGCTACTAAGGGCTCACTATTTGACATAAACTATTGAGAAAATTGGAAACCAATCTGGCAGACATAGGTTGAAACTAACACCTCAAATCAAGATTGGCTCCAAATGGATATATGACTTAGATGTAAAAGGTCATACCATTAACAAATTAGAGGAACAGGGAAGGATATATCTTTCACAACTATGGATTGGGGAAGAATTCATGTACAAACAAGAGTTAAAGAGAATCACAGAAAATAAATTGGACAATTTGGATTAAAAAATTGAAAAGTTTCTTCACAAACAAATCAAGATACTTAAATTTGAATGGAAACAGTTAACTTTAAAAATCTTTGCAGCACATTTCTCGTCTAAAGAGCTGATATATAATATAAATCTAAAAAACTAGTTCAAATATACAAGAATAAGAGCCATTCCCTAAAAGATAAAATGATCAAGGAATAGGAATTGTCCACTAAGGAAGAAATTCAAGCTATCAAAGCCATTCTCCAAATCAAGAAAAAGAAAAAGGATGTCCTTGAAGCATTGTCTTCAAATGTACAGACTCATGAACAGAAGGAAGGAGACAGAGATGAGTAGGACAAGTTTGAAAATAAAGCCATGGTAGAAATCTCATAAGTTTGGAGGTTAAGTTTCTGGGTTGGGGGCCAGCTTCCTAGAAGATGGTGATTTCCAAAATGGCACCACTGTCTCCAGAAGTATGCTATAGCTGAAAGGACCGAAAAAGCCTGAGCCATGCCCTGGCTGGCCAGGAGATTTGGACCTTGTAAGTTGCTCAGACAATGCAGGTCTGAGATGAAGTGAATATTTATTTCAGCATTACCACAAAGTTGTCTTTAATTCTAGAGGGTTTATAATGTATGTGATGAGTTATGAGTTTATGTTTTGGTATTGTTAATAAATACTTAATGAGTCTTTTGTGTTTTAAGCATTGTCTGTGGTGGAGGTATAAACCATTGTCTTTTAACCAATACATATGTTGGTCCTACCTTTACTAGACAGTATTCATTCAATCAGTTTTGGGTAGCCTCCAGACATGAGCCATACCTAAAGTCTGCTTTAAAGATTTCCTTGGTTACTCTGAGGTAGAGGCAAGGAGCCAGACAGGCAGAGAGAAGCATGACTCTATCTGCCTCACTTAAATCCAGTTTAAATCTAGGCCAGGTAAACCCAGAGCCAAAGTCCCCTGTGGGAGGATGCCTCCTGGGCCTCAAGTCACAAATATCACTTGGGGAATCATGGGTAGAGGAAAAGCCTTATTCTTTTCTGGGCACCTGACCACACTTACTGCCTAGAATTCAGAGGTGGGGAACCTTCAGCCTGGAGGCCACATGTGACCTTTAAGGTCCTTGGGTGCAACCTTTTGCTGAGTCCAAGTTTTACAGAACAAATCTTTTTATTAAGGGGATTTGTTCTGTGAAGTTTGGATTCAGTCAAAGGGCCTTGCTTGAGGACCTAGAGGGCCACATGTGGCCTTGAGGCTGTAGGTTCCCCACTCCTGGAGACTTATACTTTATACTTGCTGCCTAGATTTATATGTCCTAGACTCAATAATCTTTTGTGTACAGGATATTAGCTTTGATCTTATTCCATTATATTATATACCATGATTTATTCAGCCACCCCCCTTAGATACTAGTTTTTTGTTTTTCTTTCTTTCTTTCTTTTTACCTTTTAATTCCACTTTCAATATCAAGAAGTTTGTTTTGGTTGTGGCTATTTCTTCCTTGGTATTATTCTCTCTGAACCAACATTCCCTGCCACTTCAATGTCCCTACACTGCTGTTTATTTCCCTGCTGAATTTGATACACTTCTATTTGAAAATCTCTTTCTCTGCATGTGTATTCAAATTTACTTTAGTTCAGACAAGAATGAGGTTCACTTGATGCCTATTCACTCTACTCCACCCCTTCCTCGTCTTTTGTATACTCTTCCTGTCACCTACCCCAGTTATGAAAAATAGTTCCATCCCTTCTTCCTCCTTTCTACCCACTAACAGATTACTTTATCTTGCCTTCTCTTACCCCTTTTTAAAAACCTCAGAACTGAACTAACTCAGCTTTAGAACCTGTGGTTTTTTTTTTAAACTCCATCAATACTCTTGGAAAATATTAAGGTTTTGAAGAGATTATTGCTTCTTCTCTTTCTACCACTATACCACCATACAACCCTTTTCAATTGCTCAAATAAACTTACCTTTTTGGGACTCTTGTGTTTGCATTTCAAAGTTCCTACTTAGCTCTGGTCTTTTCAACCAAAATGCTCGAAAAACCTCTGTTCTATTAAAGATCCACTTCCTTTTCCTGTAGGATTATGGCCAACTTTGCAGGATAGATTATTCTTTGTTCTAAGCCTATCTCTTTTGCTTGTGGACTCAAAACTCTCCTCTTGTTAATACTAGAAGCTGCCAGCTCTTTTCTGTTATGCTCATTCTTTGCTTCTTGAACTCTTTTCTATATGTGTGGTGTTCAGGGAGGACTAGCACCTCTGGTTTGAGGCCTCCATAAGCCCTTTTTCAGGGCTGCTTGTTCACCTTTGGTGTCCATTTGCTACACAACTCTCACCTGTAGCTCCAGGAAACTGGAGCGGCCACACCCGAGTAAAACAATCTTGGGCAGATGGGCTAAACCAGGTTGAAGGTAATTGACAGGCCTCAAGCTCGTTGGTGAGTTAGGGGAAGACTATCCCAACTATGTGAAGACCTCCGTTGGCAGAATGGGTGCATGAGAACAAATTGTTCCAATGGCTATGAAGGTGGCTGAAGCAGGTGCTGTGGAACGCTTAAAGCCTGGCCAAAATTAAGATGCTAAGTCATCCATTGCAACCTGGGTCACTGTTGGTTGTCTTGACTTTCATCTTGCCACTAGATTTTGATGACTCTGGAAGACAGGGTGAGGCTAATGGCTTTGTACAACTCTGCCTCACTTAAATCCAATTCACATGCAAGTTAAGATGTTACTCTGTGATGTCAATGGTCCATTTCAAAAATGAAGGACAAACAACAACAAATGCTTCCAGTATTTTTTTTCTTGGAAGTGAAAGTTCTGACATTCCTGGGACTTTTCCTTTAGGGGTTTCTTTCAGGAGGAGATTGGTGAAATCTTTTTATCTTTTCTTTTGCCCTTTGAGTCTAATAGATCTAAGCAGTTATCATTCATGATTTCTTGAAATAGTGTCCAGATTTTTAAAAACCATAGTTTTCAGGGGATCCAGTGATTTTTTTTAATCTTTCCTTGACTTGTTTTCCAGGTTAGTTTTCTTTTTTATTAGATAGCTTATGTTTTCTTCTATTTTGTCAAATTTTTAAAATTTTGGTCTGATATTTCTTATTGCCTTGTGGAGTAATTGGTTTCTATTTGGTCTAGTTTAGTTTTCAGGGAGTCTGCTACTTGGATTAGGTTTACTACTTTCTCTTCTAAGTTATTTATTCTACATCTAATTATTTTCTCCAGAGCTATTATTTCATTGTTTATCTTATGTTTCATTTCTTCTAGGTATTCATGTAGTCCTTATGAAAAAATGTTTTTTTTTCCCTTTGAGTCTCAACTTAAAAGTTGTTCTTTCTTTTTTTAGAACTCTAGATTTTCAGTAATTTTTGATACTGGTTGATTCTTTGACTTGCTCATCTGTTCAGCTTTAGTTTGTGATCTGAGATTTTGTGCTAGGGCGAGGCTCCACCCTCTGCTGCACTTTTAGATGAAATGGTAGGCCTGGGTCTCCCGGATTCTTATATTTGATCTCCCCAGGTTAAGACCTCTTGGACTTTTATTTAAAATCTAGAGCACTAGATTTTCTATGTCTCCTCTGGTGTCTCAAGATGGAATAAAAGGGAATTTAGGGTCATTGGACCTGGGTTGTCCTTGCTTGAGTTCTCATGCTGCTCTGGTCCCCAGAGCTCTTTGGGGCACTGAAGATCATCATGCTGGGGCTTTCTAATCTTTCTGTGTCTTTCTCAGTGGTCCTTCTGCTCTTTTTTTCTTCTGGGAACAGATATTTGCAGGCTATATTTGTTTTTGGATCATCTCTGGTCATACTGGAAGGCTGCCAGCTTTTTCGCCTGTGCTGGCACTGACTTTGCTGGCAGACCCCTTGCCCCTTCCTTGTGGGATTCTGGCTGACTTTTGGTGTGATTCTTGGGTGGAAGAAGTGACTTACTGTAGTTTTTTTAATCGATTTTTTGATCATTATTAAGTGTGGAGCAAATTTCAGGTATTTATTGGAGCAGTTTTGTAGGCATTATTAGATGGTCCAGCTCTGTTCCCATCCTGGCCATCCTCATAGCCCTCATTCTGGTAGATAATTCCAGTGCTTCATTTGTTGGTACTGGAGGCAGATATCTTTGTGGTCTTTTATGGAAAATTCTGCAGATCTGCTTTGTTTTGTTTCTATTTTTTTTTAATTCTTACCTCACATATTTGTTGTGAGGCTAAAATGTCGTGATTTATGTAAACACTTAAAAGACTTTTGCTTTTTTACAATAATGCAATAATATTGCATTACATTCAATAACTATTCTCCATTTGACGGACACTCACTTTGTTTCCAGTTTTTTGCTACCACAAAAGTGCTGCTATAAATATTTTGATGTATATGGGACCTTTCTGTCTTTGCCCTTCTGCCAAAACTCCCAAGTATCATAAAGCTCTGAAAATACTTAATAGCCAGCAGATGTACATTTATCTAAAAATGTACATCTCCTCCTTCCTCCCCTCTCTGCCTCCAATTCATCAGACTTTCTTTTATAACAAAGATTAAAAAACAAAACAAGAAATAATTGGCTTAAGCATAGCAAATCAACATGCTATGTCTGACTATATGTTACATTATGTGCTGGGAGACCTTCACTTCATCAATGAAAGAGGGAAGATACGTTTTCTCAGTTTTTCCAGGTTAAGTTTGGTCATTATCATTACATGATATTTAATTTCATTTGATAGCTAGAGAGGGAGTGATAAAAAAAAAAACAATCACATGTGTCCGGCATAAAGGATAATTAAGCATTAGGGATACAAATACAAGTAAACATGGGACTCTCTCTCCTCAGGGAGCTTACATTCTAATGGGTGAAACAGCACATAAAGGGGGAGGCACTTGCAGTAGCATGGTGAACTAATGGTATTTAAATAGATTGAAGGTCTGGATCCCTAGCAAGATAACGGGAAAACTCATCCATCAGAGCCAGGGACTTCAAGCACAGAATGCAAATTTCTAGTGGGAAAAGAGAATGATGGCCTCAAGCAGAAGGTATGGTACCTTCAGCTGTGAGATGGAGGGAAGTTTTTTAGTTCTTTTATAGTTCTTTCGTTCATTTATATCATTGTAGCTTTTGTGCGTATTGTTTTCCTGATTCTACTAATTTTACTCTGCATCAGCTCATAGAAATATTTCCATGTTTCTCTGAATTTCTCATATTTGTCATTCCTTACAGTTTAATAATATTGCATTACATTCAATAGCTGTTCTCCATTTGTTGGACACTCATTTTGTTTCCAGTTTTTCTGCTACCACAAAAGTGCTACTATAAATATTTTGGCGTATATGAGACCTTTCTCTCTTTGCCCTTTGGTCAAAGCTCCAAAGTATTTTAAGGTTCTGAAAATGCCCAATAGCCAGCAACATTATATCTGGATCAATTTTTTGTAATCTTTTCCTAATAATTTCTTTTCTGGAATAATTTATATGTATGTAAAGCACTTTGTAAACTTAAATTTCTATATAAATTTTATTATTATAATTATAATAATTTATGAATGTGCCCTCAGATGCAATAGACAGATATTCTCTAATATTCTAATGCTGCACTAGATCTCTTATTTAGACTATCAGAGAATATTTCTCTAATGTAACTGGGTGTATGAACAAAAACATAATAATAATAGTTGATATTTAAATAGTTTTATGGTTTTCAAAGTACTTTATGCAACTCACAGAGAAACATTTGTATTTTAAAATGTTTTATATAGATACTTCAGAAGTCTTTCTTTGATGCCTCATCATGGCACGTAGGTTACCCCCACTATTTTCAATAGCTCTGCTACTAGAACCTTTCCCAGGAAATAAAGGAATAAAGCTAGGATGATGCCCATTCTCCCTGCTATTATTTGCTATAATTCTAGAAAGTTAAACAGCAGTAATTAGAAAGAGAAAGGAATCAAAGGCGTGAATATAGGTAAAGAGGAGATAAAACTAACCTTATCTGATGATGACATGACATGAGATTATTTAGAAAATCACAGGGAATCAGCAGAGATACTGAGACCATTATCTTCAACAAAATTTAAGGCTGGAAAATAAATCTGTGAAAATCAGAAGCATTTCTTTATAATAACAAAATCCAAGAGGCAATAATAGAAAATAAAGTCCCATCCAAAATAACTACTGTGTATATACATATACATACATATATATATATACACATACATACATATACACACACACACACATAGTATCTAAGGATTGGTTTAACAAAGCACACAAAATACTTTTATAGTTTCAATTACAAATTAAGTAGAATACACAGTGCTCACGGCTGGCCCATATTAATATAATAACTACCAAAGTTAATGTATAGTTTTAATGCTATACCAATTAAGTTTACAGAACTTAATAGAATGGAAACAAAAATCATTTAGAGAAACAAAATATCTAGAATATCAAGGGAATTAATGAAAAAGGTAGTAAAGAAGGGTGAATGGTACTTTCAGACCTCAAACTATAAGATAAGACAACAGTCATCAAAACCATTTGGTACTGATAAAAAAAAATAGAGAAGTAAATCAGTGGAACAGATTAGACATAGAAGGAATTAGAAATGATGAAATTCAACAACCTAGTGTTTGATAAACCCTAAAACATAAAGTAAACATAAAACATAAAGTACTCAGGCAAGAACTTCCTTTTTGATAACGAATCTTGGGAAACTAGAAAATAGTCTGGCAGAAATTAACCTTAGACCAACAACTTACAACATATTCCACAATAAATTCAAAATGGATATATGACCTCAATATTAAAGATCATGTCATAAAAAATTCAAAGAGATGTAGATCATATACAGCTAGGTCCCAATCAGTGTGAACAATGAATCCCATGAGTGGTCACATTATTCAAATTTACACAGCATACTTTGATTGGGTTGAAAACCAATGATCATATTTACATATAATTATAACTTTGAATAGTAGGAATTCAAATAATGTGACCACTTCAGATTTGTTATTTGCACTAATCAGGACTTAAGTGTCCCTTTCACAGCTCTGAGCAGGCGATATATTCTTATTCAACAAAGGGTAAAGGCAATCACAAAAGAAAAAATAGACAATTTTGATTACATGAAATTGAAAAATTCCTACACAAACAAAATGCATCTGGGATAAGAAGTGCTCTAATGCAGATAAAATCACATCAGATTTCTCACATAAAGATGTGTTATCTAAGATATACAGACAGCTTATACACACATATATATGTGGATCTATATATGTGGGTCTGTATACAAACAATTGTGTGGATGTAAACCAAAAAGCCATTTCGGAGGGAGCCCAGCACAGTCTTCTCCACATTTTCCAACAGCTATACTACTTTTGGACTTTTACATTGTTATGGCTGAAATTAAGGTAAACTGAGACACAAAGTTCCAAGCACAGTCAATTTATTGACAAAGCACTAATTTGCCAATAAACAGAGTCTCAGCCCCCTCAGAAAAACTAAGATTCCCAATAAGGGGAATAGCTATCTTTTATAGACCAGAGGGGAAGTATCCAAAATAGAAGAGAGCATCAAAGATGGGGAAAGCAGTAGTATTAGTTACACAGCTTATAGCATCATAGAAGAGGAAAACAATACAATTGGTTACAAAGGCTGTAGGGGTAAAGAACAATATGATTGGCTGGAAATTGGGAATGAAGGGCTAGCAATAACCCTTACTTCTATCCTGTCACTAAGAAATGTTCATTGTTTGAGTTCACCTAAAGGAAAGTTTAGCAATAGTGGACTGAGTACCTTGGCTAACACACCATACTCTTTGGCATCCACCTGCATCCCTCAAGGATAACCTATTTCCTTGAGGAAGAAAGGAAAGAAAGGAAGGAAGGAAAGAAAAGAAAGAAGAAAGAAAAGAAAGCTGTGTTGTCCACCTGGAAGTTTGGTCCCTATGGGCAGGTCCTTCTTTACTCACACCCAGCTCTACACTGGCCTTCAGCTCTGTATTTAGGGTTAAAATAAAGTACTAGGATTTATGGCTCAAAGGGTATGATGCATTAGGATGCACATAGTATGAAGTATTATGTGCATTTCTAAGTACCTCTTTTTGATAACTGGTAAATGGGAGAGCACCTTAGAACAGGACAACCAAGATGCTGGAGGGACTAGATATCATATGGCCTTTGGTTGAAATAACAAGGGATGTTTAACCTGGAGAAGAGGTGTCTTGTGGGAGTTGGGGGGGGGGCAGGACACACAATAGTTATTTTCAAGTATATGAAGGGCTGTTATATGGAAAAAGGAACACACCTGTTTTGTTTGGTCCTGGAAGGTAGAACTGGGAGCAATAGATGGAATTTTCAAAGAGGCAACTTTAGGCTTGAGGTAAGGAAATACCTCCTAACAAGTAAAGCTTTGCAGGGCAGCTAGGTGGCACAGCGGATACAGCACCGACCCTGAAGTCAGGAGGACTTGAGTTCAAATCTGGCCTCAGACCAAGCACTTCACACTTGCTAGCTGTGTGACCCTGGGCAAGTCACTTAACCCCAATTACCTAAAAAAAAAAAAAGTAAATACAAGTAAAGCTTTGCAAAAGTGGAACGGACAGTATTTTTCTTTAATGGGAAGTAATTCTTCTATAATGGAAGAATAAGAATTGGGAAACATCATCCTAGAAGATTGAATCAGTCTTGGTATTCACACCTCATTACTACCCTCAGATGAGGGTATAGCCATGACCTCCAAAGCCTCCATTTAAGCCAGGGGGTTCCCACCTGGCTGCATTACTTAGGGAGTTTGCCATCATTACCTTTGCACTGGGTACCTCCTCCCCACCTTTTAACCTTTCTTTTGTTTGTTGTCTTCCCTCATTAGATTATAAGGTCCTTGAGGGCAGGGACTGTCTTTTTTTTTTATCTATAGCACTTAGCACAGTGCCTAGCCATAGAAGGTGCTTAATAAAGGCTTATTGACTAGACTATTTATTCACTAGAGATCTTTAAGCACATTGCTAGATAACAATTCATTAGGTATGGAATGGAAGAGATTCTCTTGTTCAGCTGTGGGTTGATCATTGAGATCCTTTCCAAAACTGAGATTTTATTATTCTAATCACTTTTCTTATATATCTAATCACCTTCTTCACATTTCCAAAATATTTTCCAGAAAGTTGAACCATTTTATAAGCTCACCAAGCAGTTTTACTGTAAATTGCCCAACACCGATTTTTTTTTCTCATCTTATAACATTTGCAAATTTGATCAGCATGAGGTGACACATTAGGTTTGCCATCACTTGCATTTTTCTGATTATTCATCACTTTTCCAGATGATTATTGATAATCTGATTTTTATTTTTTGAAAATTGTTTATTAATATCCTGTGACTGCTTAACACTAATTCCAGAGGGCCAAATCCTGTGTCTTTGACACTTACTACATGGGTGACATTGGGCAAGTCATTTAACCTCCCTTGGACTGATTGTCTTTAAATATAAAATAAGGAGCTTAGGCTAGATGCCCTCTGAGGCATCTTTGAACTTTAGATCTGGGATCCCATGCTTTAGGTTTGATTTTTTTCCCTCCCAAAATGTATGGTTCTCAGAGAATGAGAACTTTCTAATTCTTAAGGACAGCAGTGTGGATTAGTATTTTACCTACTCAAATTCCAAATCCCCATCCTGCATCAAAACTCCATTTTCTCCCTGATTTTGGCCATATTTCATTGAGCCCTAGTCATATGACCTCAGGATAACTGAGTTTTCTTTCTACTTGAATAGAAAAAGAATACTTAGCTGGCCAATTAACCAGTCAATAAACATTAAGTCCTACTGTGAGCCAGATACTTTGCTAAGCTCTGGGCAATACAAATAAAAAGGTAGTCCCTGCTTTCAAGTTTACAGTCTTATGGGGGTAAACAATACAGAAAAGGAAGCTGAAAAGGAGGGGTTAAGGGAGGGAGTGGGGAAAGTACTTGGGAAGGGCACAGTGTGGGGTTGGCAGGATGGAGAAATCCAAAGAAACACAGCTGGCTGAGAAATGAAAAGATGGCTGTTTTGGGTGAGCCACTTAAATGGAGGTTTTGGGAGGAGCTCTTCAGTCCACCTTCAATCAGAGGGGTCCTGAGGCAGTGAATACTGACGAGATGTGAGTACCAAGGTGGATACCTATCTTGTAGGATGATGAGATTCCTGGGCACATGATGGAGAAGCCCAAGGCAATAGAGTCAGGTAGGAAATGTTTAGTACTAGGATACTGTTTAGTATTTTATTCTTGGCATAGAATCAATAACAATAATAACATGATACATAATAAAATGCCTTCTGGTAAACTGTGAGCCTGTGGCCCTTTCCAGACTTAGCTAGTATGTAGCCTGCAATGTATTTTGGCAGTTCAAGGAAAAGCAGAGTTTAATTTGCTTAGCCCCCATGGCAATGCTCCTTTCAAAAAGGCAAAGGAATATAAGTAATACAGCACAGTTTGCAACTGTTGTTTGACTTACTCATCTAGTAGAACAAGTCATCCGATGAATGCTTAGAAACGCTGAACCTAGGACCTTCCCTCCACCTCCTCAGCACACGAGAATAACCTAGAAGGCAGGAAGAACTGAAACTGTTAGTCTGTTTCTGTTGTGTATCCTGCAAGTGACAGGGATCTCCAGCTGTTTATTCTTCACTATGGCTAACCTAATATTTTTGAAGTAATGGCTATGGGTTGTAGTTCACAAGAACACCAAAACCTGATATAGTTTTAGAAAGAAATTTATTAGGTCATTTGGCGGAGAGAGAGCCAGAAAGGAGGTGTGACTTCCTCCCCCAGATTCTAGAAGGTTTACATGATGTAGGATTTTGACAAAGGTTTCCTCACTCGAGTCACACATGAATCACATGAAGGGAACTCAGAACACAAGCTCAGGTGTACCCTAAACAAATCCCGGGTAGACCCAAACAAAACAAAATGCTATGGGTAGATCCAGGACCTGGGGGAACCCAAAATACCTTCTAGTCATTTCCAGCATTCCTAGAAAATTACTGGGGTCAGGAAACTTTCTGGGTTGCAGACAATTTCTAATCACATAAAAGACCAATTTAAACGGCATAGTAATTTTTTCAAACAATATAATAAATCATTGTTTCCCACAAGATTTACCATGCATTCTTAGAAAGGGAAGCCTGCTACCATTCTGCTCTGGTATTCCTCTCATCTCCCTGACCATCAGATCTTTAGTCCATGGTATTGCTGTTATATTGCTGCATGACATCACTTCTCCTACAGCAGAAGGACAGTCAGTGTGAGAGGGATCACTATGTTGGAGGGGTGGAAGTATAAGGAGATAGCTGAGTAAATTGATCAAGCTATTTCACCTTACTTAAAGTAAATGATAAGATGCCCTGAATTCTCTGGAATTCAAAGCCCTTAATAACTTGGCCCCTTCCTACCTCTCCAGTACTTATACATTACTTCACTCTTTATTCCCTAATGCCTGCCCCGCATACTCTTTCATCCCATGACACTATCCTTCTTTCTTGATGCCCCATCTCTAGACTCTGGGCATTTCTTTGGCTCTTTGCCATGACTGGAATATTCTCCCTCCTTATTAGTGCTTCTGGCCTTCCTGGCTTCCTTCGGGTCCCAGCTTAGATCCTGCCTTCTATAGGAAGCCTTTCCTTATCCCTTTTAATGCTAAATACCTTCCTCCTGTTTATTATCTCCAACTTATCCTGCATTGTTTGTACAGTTGTTTTTCATGTTGTCTTCCTCAATAGATTGTGAGCTCCTTGAGGTCAGGGACTGTGTTTTGCCTCTTTTTATATCCTCAACACTTAGCACTGTTCGTGGCACAGTGTAGGAGCTTAATAAATGTTGAATGAATGAATCATCCTTTAAACAGGCAAAAAAAGTCTCAATCAATAATCAATTTCAATTATAGATTTGTGTTTAGACTAAGTGTCCAAAATCCCTGGAACTAGTGTGGCAGTTGTATAGGAGCCATGACTGAGGAAACTTTGTCATGTCCTGGACTACATCTTCAAAATGTCAAGTTGGTTTAGAACTGGGATTATTCAAGGGATTTAAGCAAGTGTGATGTTCCAGCAAAACCCCTGAGGAAAGGGTGGGAGGAGGAGAGAAGAAGGAGAGGTCTTGTCTTCTGCCTTGGCCAGAGGTTTCTAAGAGTATTGAGGATTCTGGACTTTCCATATTTACACGTGTCCTAGTGGTGCCTCCTGGTGGTTTGTCTAGATAGAGCACCCAGAAGAGCCTGATCCAGTCTAGCACACATGTAGCATCAGTTCTGCAACCTCATCCCTTGAGAGCAAAGGAAGGGCTGTTAAAAATTTTGAGTGTGATGCCTCAGCTTTGAGTATTGGTTTCCCTACCACTCAAGAGAGCCCAACTTGGTAAATTTCCCAAGGTAAAAGGTAGACTAACAATATCCTAAAACAGCCTCATTAACAGCCATTTACTGGGGCAAAGTAGACATATTTACATAATCTATATATACAACTAGCATATATATGCAATGGAGGTTTTGAAACAGGGAGAAGTATACTCTCTGCCTGGTTTTAGTCCTTAGAGCAGACATAGATATCCTCTACCTGCTTCTAATTTAACCATGTGGAGACTTGGACAGCCATTTCTTTTGGCCATGAGTGACTGAGAGCCTGGTACTTTGTGGTCATGAAGAGTCTTCTGCTTGGCTAAGGAAATGGACGGATTAATGACTCATGAGTCACTTAGCTGGAATTGGGTGCACATATAAATAACGTGTGTCCCTCTGTTGGCCCTTTTTGTCCTTTTCTTTCCTGAAGCTGAGTGAGGAAAGAACTGCTGTGTCCTGCTGGGTGCACAAGTAGTAGGAAGGCTAAATCATTCTTCTTGGTCACCATGTGTTAATGAGTACATGGTGCTTCTTTTTCTTTTGTATTCATTCGTCCCTGATCTTAAGTGAATGAGCAGGGCAGCTACCGGCCCTGGATTCAGGAGGACCTGAGTTCAAATCGGCCTCAGACACATAACACTTACTAGCTGTGTGACCCTGGGCAAGTCACTTAACCCCATTGCCTAGCTTAAATAAAAAAATTAAGTGAATGAGCATCTGGAGACGGAATTGATCAGGTTTGGACTTTGGGAACCTTGAAAGATCAGGAGAGATATCAGAGGTCCCAAGGACAAACAGGGTTGGTAGTAGAGTCTGCCAGAGGGGATAACAATGGCTGAGGATGGTGGTGGCTTCAGGGAGTGTCGCTTTTGAAGGGAGAAGAGCCAGCTACATAATGTACCGATTACTCCAAATCTAGCAAAAAGCTATACTTAAGGGAAACTTCCTGGACTTCACAAAAGAATAACAGGATTTCCAAGATCAGTAGGACTCTTGAGTGCTCTTCAAGTCAACACGTACTCTACACTACGCCTCACTTAAGCCCATTTTGCATAGGGATCTTATTTGTCCAAATTTGGAAAGGAATGTTTTGTAACATTTTCCTTATATCACTTTAGCAAACATACTTTTTCTAGAAGCTAATAGAGTTCTAATGGTTGTTTGATAACGAAGAGTACACTGGATGGGGCTTCTGAAACTACACTGTTAGAAACTCTAGTGACCCTAAGGATTACCTCTAGAAAGCTGATTAATAGTCAGCTGCCCTTTGGCGACCCAGTTTGCCAGTGCAAGTGTGAGCTGGGTGAGTCCAGAGAGATGCTATGGATGCATTTACGCATGCACGCATGTATGTGTCCAGCCCTCATTTCCCTCCTGATGTTCAGCCCCGTATCACCAAATACTTGCAGTACATTTTCACTTGGATATCCTACAGGTATTGCGAATTCAGAACGTCAAAAATGGAACTCTACCTTCTCTCCTAAATTGGATCAAACTTCAAACTTTCAGGTTTCTGTTGAGAGTCACTCCGGTTCATAACCTCAGCCTTCACTTCAATTCTTTATTCTCCTTAAGTCCTCATATCCAACCACAACCCTAGCACCTGTACTCATCTCTGCGCTCATATGGCAGCTGTGCTCTTTCAGGACCTCAGCACTTCTCACCTGAACTCTTTCAGTAGCTTTCTAATTGGTTTTGCTAAATTTCAGGATCTTCGATTCTCTAATCCATCCACCACACAAGTCAGGAAAGACAATATTGCTAAAGTACAGGTTTAATGACGTCACTCCTCCCCTCAAGAATACGCAGCGCCTTCCTGTTGCCTCTGAGTTAAAATCCAGATTCCTCAGTTTGGCATTTAAAGTCTTTCATGGTCCAGCATGTCTTTACGGATTTATTTCATGGTACTCTTCTTCATGCATTCTACATTCCAGTGAAAATGACCTTGCTGTACTCTGAACTGAACTTGCCATTCCACTTCCTGCTTCTTTCAGTTCCTTTACCCAGACTTTCGTACAACTTTAACTTCCCCTTTACCTCTGTTATCTTTTCTTCCTAAAACTCTCAGCTCAGGCTCTACCGCCTGCATGATTTCCTCCCCATCCCTGAATAGGGAAGTCAGTTAAGTCAACAAACATTTATCTTTTTTTTTTTTTTGGTTAGGCAATGGGGTTAAACCCAGAGTCACACAGCTAGTAAGTGACATGTGTCTGAGTCTGCATTTGAATTCAGGTCCTCCTGAATCCAGGACTGGTGCTCTATCCACTGAGCCACCTAGCTGCCCCAACAAACATTTATCAATCACCTACTAAGAATCTGGTGCTATGCTAATCCCTGGGGTTACAAAAGAGGGGCTAAACACAGTCCCTGCAGTCCAGGAGCTCACAATCTAATGGATGAGACTATATGCAGAGGACGATGTATAAACAATAGGTGTCCTGGGCTAGGAATCAGGAAGACTCATCCTCAGTTCCAATCTGGCTTCAGGCACTTCCTAGCTGTGTGACCCTGGCCGAGTCACTTAACTCTGCCTCCATTTCCTCACACGAGCTCGAAAAGGAAACGGGTAAGCCATTTCAGTATTTTTGCCAAGAAAACCCCAAATGAGGTAACGAAGATTTGGACGTGAATGAACACCAACACTGCTCTGGCACGGCTCGTTGCCAGTTTCCAAGATGGCTTTTTCGGGAGAGAAGCAGGGACCTTTTGCCAAAAAGCAATATGGCCCCTCCGTTTGGAAGCCGTTTCCATGGATGTCTGCGGAGCATCGGAAAGACGGATTTGCCAGTGTCCAAGATGGCCGCTGAGAACTGGCAGCTTCGCCCTGCCAGGCTTCAATATAGCGGCCCTGCTTCGCGACACGCCAGTGGCTGTTGCGGGCCCTCGGGGCGTCAGGGCACGGAAGTGACGCAGACTGACGGCGCTCGATGACGTCACTCCCTTACCTCTCTCCCGCCCCTGTCCCCGCCCCCGCTCAGGTCCCTGTACTCTCTTCTCCCAAAGACTCAGAGAGCGAATCCAAGATGGCGGCTGAGGCGGAGTACGAGTCCATTCTGTGCGTGAAGCCCGAGATCAGCGTCTACCGCATCCCGCCGCGTACCTCCAACCGCGGATACAGGTAGTGCAGCCCTCGCCCACGCCTCACGTCCTCCACCCCGGCGTCCTCTTCTCGGAGTGGTCATGCTTCCGTGCCCTCCAGTGCCCCATGCTCCCTCTGAGGACTGCTCCCCCTTCCAGACTCCCCTCGCGGTCACTGCCGTGTCCCTCCTCTGGACCGCCCCCCGACGCGCGGACATTGCCGTCTCTCACCCCGCCCCCCATCCCACCTCCAGATTCAGCCTGCTTTGTCATATCCCCTCTCACCTTTGGACACCTCTCCCCATCCCACCTCCCTCCCTACTGTCAAATCCCATTCCACTTTTGGACCCCCTCCCCATCGAACCTCTATCTAGATCCACCCTCCTCCCATTGTCATATCCTGTTCCACCTTTGGACCACTTTCATCCCGCTTCTAGATTCCACCCCTCTCCCCATACCATTTCCCATCCCACCTCTGGACCCCTCCCCCCAGTAGGATTACCATTTCCCTTCCACCTTTAGAGTATCCCCATTCTACCTCTAGTTAGACCCCAGAAGAACAGGGTCATGAATTTTGACCCAGTGGAAGGGACGCCTGTCAGCTGGTCCCTATTCAGACCCTGTTCCTGTGCTATCTCAAATAAAGCACTTTGCAAACTTAAAAGCTAATATTATTATTAACCAAGGTTTCAGTCAGTCCACCAGCTCAGATAGTTCTTTCTGGGAACCACTTTCCTCCCTCCACCCGCATTGGCCTTTTCCATCCTACTTCTAGACCCCTGCATCTCACCTCTGGGACCTCCTTCATCCCAGTTTTGGATTCACCCTTCCACCCTCAGGAAGATTGCTATTAGAAACTTCCCCCAGTGAGGAGTATCACTGTCTCCCATCCTATTTCTATATTCCTCCTTATGATCATTACCTATGGGTTCTCTCTTAGTGTCATTACCATCTCTCACCTCATGCCTTTCTTAATTCCATTTCTGGCTTGTTCCTTAGTGAATTGATAAGCATTTATCAAGCACTAGGTTCCAGAACCCTAGTGACAGTCTCCCCACCCCTGAAATACTGGTTTCCCATTCCATCTGGGTTTATTTTTTTTTCCATTCTTTTTCTGTCTGGTTGCCTTCAATCTGTTCTTCCTTTTTAACAGTCCCCTTTCCCCTCCCCCCAGAATAACTCCAGTGCTTTCAATAAATCAACAAGTATTTGTTCAGTGCCTGCTACTTGCCCTGCTCTGCCCCAGGCTCTGGAAATACAAGTATAAAAATGAAATCTATTCACAATGAACCCCATGTACAATACCTTCTAATCCTTATCCATATTATCCCCATAATCTTCCTTGCTTCCTTCAAGTTACTTTTTCCCCCATTCCTCCTTTTCCCTTTTTCTTCCCATTGTTACCCATTTCCTAATATTCCTTATCTAGCCGCCATACTTTGCAGTTAGTCTTGTGAATCCTGTCCCTATACTGTTTTCTAGTAATCAAAAATTATTATTCTTATTCCATTTCATTAAAAAAAAAAGTGCTATTTTTCTCTTCTGCCAGCCCTGATTTCTTCCTTCATTATCAGTTTTCTCTTTCTATGAGGCAACTACCCTGGCTATTCTTTCTTTTTGATCAAAATTAGCATTGGGTCTTTCTCCCATGGCATTTCCCAGTTCAACTTTTTCTGTTCACAGTTGTCAACCTGTCTTCTCTCCTCTGCACCAACATTATCATAATCCCCATTACAACTTACTTTTACACAGCCTGTGAAGTAGGTTGTGCAAGTATTATTAAATCTACATTTTATGTATGAGAAAACTGAGGGTCAGAAAAGTTGCCTATGGTCACACGTTTAGTAAGAGTCAAATCGTATATTCAAACCCATGTTTCCTCATTCTGTTTTCACTATACCGTGCTACCTCTCTTAACTGATAATACCTGAGTATCTACAAGCCCTGGATGAGATCTAGGAGATTTCATATAGCATCAGCGAAAAGTGACTAGGCCTTCCTTAAATTGTTTATAGACATAGATATCTGACATGAACATGAATAGGCATCTAAATGGTTTTGGTTGGCAGAAAAATGTAAATAATAAATATATGTGAGGGTAGATTGGCTACCTTGGCATGGTTTAGGACTTTCTAGAAAAGATGAGATGTTATGTTCTTATCTTTCTTCTACCTGAAGACCTTTCTTCTACCTTGACCCATCCGCATTCTTTATCTCCCTATGTTAATCACACTGCTTTCCCTATACCACTTTAAAAGTATTCTTTAATACTGTCTTTCCTCTTATCATTACCTCTCATTGCACTGTTGTCTTATTGCTGCTCTGTGTTCTTGCAGCTTTCAACTTATTAGAGTGTGAGATTCTGCTTGCTCACTTCATTATACAGGAGGGATTTATTTAATTTTTTCCCAAGCGTAGCTTTCCCCTGTTTCAGGAGGAAAATATTTCCTTGAACCCATTTTACTTTAAGAGCATGATTTTGCTCTAGGATATCAAAGGGGAAGATAGACTTTTGACAAATATATATGCATTTATTATTTATAATCTTCACAAAAAGAATTTGAGTAATTTTCCTATTTGTGTTAACAGGTAGGAAAAGTTTTTCATCGGAATGACTGATAATAATTTACCTTACCAAGCGTTACTTTCAGGCTATCGTTGAATGGGCTTGGTGGGCTTTCCTACCCTTGGAGAAGATGAAAGGAGGAATAAGAGTAGGAAAATCTCAGAATTATTAGGCTGATAGACATTTTTCCATCCTAGTAATCTTTCCAGGCATTCTGAAAAGGAAGGTGCCATTCGAAGAAAGTAAGATTTCCTAGGGCCTAGTATATAAGGGCTTAATAGATGCTTGCTGATTGACTGATGTTGTACCCCAGACTCTGCCCTCATCCTTAGGATTCCACTATTCTCACTGATTTTCCACCAAACACCCGGCCTCCCCGTTCATCACCCTTTGGAAGTCACACGACCAAAATCTCCACTTTGCCTCAGCACCCCACAGGGGTAGTTAGTAAGTAATACACTGTGCTGCACCATCACCCAAGACTATGTTGTGATGTCATTGTTATCTTAAACTCTGAAATTATGTTTTCTGATCACAGTTTACTTCCGATCTCTGCCTCATTCTTAAACCTATTCTTTGTTTTCGTCATGATCCCTGTTCCTTCTTGTTCTCTCAGTCAACATCCCTGTTCTAGCCTTTCTTCTTTTCATAGCATTGGATCCTATGGAGAGGCAGAACAGCGATGGACTCCAACCTTGACTCTTGTGCCTCCTTATTTTTTCCCCGTGCATATCCTGCCAAGTCTCCAAATCACTGTCATCCCACCATCTGTCTGCCTTCTCTGTTCTTCTGCTGACATGCACTTCTAGAGGAAGTTAGGCAACTATGTCAGATGGGTCCACGACAGATAAATGTTATCTCAGCTGAATTGGTCCTTCTCTGTTATGCAGCAACATTAGTATTAGAGTCCTCACATTGGCTGTACCAGACCTTTTCCCTTCTTTTCAAGGCGCTGATGCTACCCTATCCCCTCTTTCTCAGCAGATGACTTTGTCTCCTTGACTGAAAGAAAATGGAGACTGGACCTTGTAAGTTTCTGTCTCCCTTATTCCAAACCTATTATCTCCTCCTTTGGTCCAGTCTCAGAGGATGAGGTAGCCTTTTTTTTTGCTAAGGTTAACTCTTGTTTACTGTATCCTATGCCCTCTAAGAGGTTTTCCCAGGAATCATTCCTTCACTTTCCCTTGTCTTTAGTTTCACTAACGACTGGGACTCTCCCTGCTGCCTACAAACCTGCTCAGCTTTAACCTTAACTTTTGTCATCCCTTAAGGCTCCTTTCTATATGTCTCCTCCCTTTCATTTATTATCTGTATCCACTTTACAAGTTTTGGCTTTTGAGCCCAGTGAATGTTCGGAAATGAGCTGAAAATGTTTTCTCTAAGGTTACCAGTGACCTAAATTTCATGACCTTTTCCTCACCCTCCATGATCTTTCTGTAACTCTTGACATTATTGACCAGCCCATCTTCCTACACAGCTTTCAGGGTGCCTTTCTCTCCTCATTTTTTTTTTCTCTTTAGGGAGATCAGTGGAGGATTTG